GTATTAATGATTTTCTTTCCTATTAAAACAGGAACCTTGGAATGAGTGACAAGATTGCTCCTCCGTCTTACACTGGGGAAATGGAGAGATATACTTTTGTGTGTTCTATACCAGACTTACAAATAAAATATTAAATTCTCTGCCCTTGAACACTTGTATTTTCATTGCCATTATCTACAGAACTTTGAAACTTAGGACTTGCTTTTTCTCTGAAATAGGCAGGCAGTTCAGTAGAATGCTGAACTTCGCATCAGATGATTTACTGAACGTGTGACAAATTGAGTATAAAATGCTAAGAAGGAATGTGGCTTATTCTTTCTTTACAGAAGCAAAAAGCTATTGATGATAATGCCTTTAGGAGCAGATTTGGAGAATTTTAAAATGTGGAAATTGTAGAAACAATTCATTTGTGTACATGTTTGTGGGTATCATGACATTGTTGCAAATCAGATGAAATCATTTGAGAAATTTTTAACCCTTGTCTGCTGGCTGCACTTCCATCAATGATAATGAAACTCATCTTGGACTGGGCCTCTTGTCTGAGGGATGAGATGGAAAGCAGAAGCTTTAAATTTAACAGCAGAGGAAGTAAATAAGGCATTCAACCTAGCACAATAAAAAAATTAAAATTCTTATCAATCAGCATTGTTTGTTCCTAGCCAATGACTTATTGCTGTACACTTTCTATGTCTGATCAAGATGCGACCTGACCTACATATTTCTAATGTCTACAGTAGCTTAAAATCAAATTGGAATAGGAGTAAATCATTGTGTCTCATGTCTGCTCATTTAATGCAATCATGGCTGATCTACCTCAACTTATTTCCCATCCTCCAATGTTCCTTGATGCCAAGAGACCAAAAGATGTCTCAACCTTGAATCTATTCAACAATGGAACATACACAATCCCTATGATCATTGAACTCCTAAGGTGCAGAAAGAAGCCATTAAGCTCACTGGGTCTGCACTGACCTGCTGAAGAACATCTTACCTGGACTCCTGCAATATTTCTGTGACCCTGCATTTAAACAGCTAACCTACCTAGCCTGCACAGCCCTGGATGCTGGGATGATTTAGCACAGCCAATCCACCCAGCCTTTACACATTTTTTGAACTGTGGAAGGAAACCCATGCAGACATGGGTGACTGCAAACTCCACACATTCTCCCCAAGTCTGGAAGTCCACCTGGGTCTCTGTTGCTATGAAGCAGCAGAGAAAGATTTGAAATTCAAAACACTTTAAATTTTCACCTCCCCTCTGCTAAATAATCAATCCTTTATTCAAACCTGAATCCTCTAGATTCTGCAGCAGGAAACAATTCCATGTAATCCTATCAGGCTATCAGCAATCATGCTTTAATTAGACTGCCTGAATTAGTATTTATCCAATTTGACAAACCCTCATTGCAGGCATCAATCTTGTGAACCTTTACTATACTATACAGCCTCCGAGGCAAGTGGATTCTTCCTCAGTTACGGCAAACAACTGTGCACTCTAGGTATGATCTCACTAAAACACTAACTGTAGCAAGCCCTACTGTATTCAAGCTACAGAGAATAACACAAGTGTCTCAAAACTTGAATATATTCAATACAGCACACACTATGATGTAGAGAATACCAAAGATGCAAGATACTTAAGTTTTCGTCATCTGTCCTTAATGAATCTATCCCATATCCTGAGGCTGATCACTAGATTCCAGTCTCCATCTGTGTAGAGCTCTTAGGAAATTTAAAAACTACTTAAACATTCAATTGAGTTTCCTGTGCCAATAATCCAGATTAATGAAAAGTAGTTCCTGATCTCTAGTAAGACTCATCAGCCTAAATAGCAGCAGAACAGGCCACAGTTTTGGTATATTAGAGGTCAACTGTGCCAATGATTTTTTTTCACAAATCAATCTTAAAATCTCTCCCTGTCTTAGTACAGCCAATCGTAATTATAACCTTGAAACTGATCAGTTTATAACTTGCAGTTAATGTGAGACAGCATGATCAATAACAATCTAGATGTCAGGCCAATACCAGTTGATTTTTGAAGACAGAAAAATGGCAGGTTAAGACGGATTTATAGGAAGTGTGCTGGGTCAACTTATTTGCGGCTTGAGTCTTTCATTATGGGTTGATGTCTGAGAGTAGGTAAAGCAAAAATGTGCACTAGTAGTTGAGGTACAGCCATACAGTGAGAAACCCAATAGGAATTAAAATTAAAAGGTTAGTATCTAAGCAGTAATTAACCAAAAACCAAGCAAATATTCAGTCCATTAAGGTAGGCCCTGTAACTATGGAATACAGTTACTACTTAAGCCTTTATCTCGTGCATATCTGCCATTGAATCCAGTTTCCTTAAATTATATCCAAAAAAATACATCTAATCAGATATTTCTCCAGTACTTAATTTGATAGTTAATGCATTGATTTTCTGTTCATGTAGATGAATGGAACTTGAATACAATAGTTCCTTTTGTAAAACCTTGTTGTTTTAATGCCCTTCACACATATTAAGCCAAAACAATTCAACTTCAATCTTCTTGTAATGCTTACTAAAGATAAAATATTCTGTTTATGAAATTTGGGAAAGGGCACATAAAAAGGCTAACCGATCAACAATGGGACATAGGATATGGGTTGGTGGTTCTGATAGGTGTAAATGTGAGGCAAGGACAGTGATGGAAATGAATTGGTAATGAATTCTGAAGGTCAGCCCAGCATTAAACAGGACACCAGGGTTGAAGCTTTCTTAAGTATGGATTTGGGCCTAAGAAATTGAACGTGATGGCTTTTGTTTTGATATTTATGTTGGGAGAAACTTCACTTATTCTCATAGGCAGTCAGCACGATGTTTAGACGGCTGAGTCGCACTTTCTCTCTCTACCCAAGCTGTAGCTTGGGATGGTATGCAGGTAAAGAGTGAATGATTTGTTGACTGCAAAATAATTAAATCTTGCTTCAGAATTGGTGGAATATAAAAGGTGAGCCATTAAGGAAGTGATGCAGCAGCAAATGGCCATCCATGCAGAAAGTGGTGGTATAAGGATAATACACCAGAGTACAAACATGGTCTTGGAACAAGTAGGGTGGCTATTAGATCACCAAGAAGGATCAAAGGATTGCTATCCCTGTGGGAATTGTCCTCAGCTTTAGAAGTGATCAGAGGGAATTATGGCCTGTATCTGAGGCTGAATGCACTAAATCACACTTTTATCAAATATGTAGGCAAGCAGGAAACCTGCCTTTTTACAAACTGGGTATTTTCCATAAAATTCCTACACTGTGAAAGCAGGTCATTTGACTCAGAGTCACCACTGTCCTTCTGAAGATCCACACCCCTCACCCTATCCCTATAACCCCACATCTCCCATGGCTATTCCACCTAGCCTGCACATCTATGGAAACTTTAGGCAATTTAGCATGGCCAGTCCACCTAATTTTCACATCTTTAGACTGTGGGAGGAAACTGGAGCACTGGAGGAAACCCACACGGACACGGGGAGAACGTGCAAACACCACACAGACAGTTGCCCAAGGTTGGAATCGGATCCCTGGCACTAAGGTAGCATATGCAAATGATTTGTATCTGCAACAGACCTGCTGAGTGAGACTGTACACTTCCAGTTTGAAAAGGGAGTGGAGAATGTAGGCATTGATCCCACTACCTCTCACATGCAAAGCCAGTGCTCTACCATTTGAGCTAATTCTCCTAAATCAACAGATGCTTTAGAAGCAGCCCACTTGACCCATCAAATCCACAAATGACCCTCCAAAAGAGCCTCCCACACTCCTACCCTATCCCTGTAACCTTACGTTTCCCATGGCTAACCCATCTAGCCCGCACACTCCTTGACACTATGTGCAGGTTCGGTGGATTGGTCATGTCCAATTTTGGACTGTGGTAGGAAACCAGCGCAGCCTGAGAAGTCCCACGCAGACACAGGAAGAATGTGAAAACTCCACACAGACAGTTGCCTGAGGCCAGAATCAAAATGAGTCCCTGGCGTTGTGAGGCAGCAGTGTTAACCAAAGAGCCACCATACTGCACCCAAAACTGTATCCAAACCAGATAGGAGTCAAAACTACAATCTCCCGAGTCCTAGTCAGACAAGTTATCCATTGTACCACTGGCCTAGGTAGTGTCCTCCTTGACATGCTATCCTGTTCCAGCAGGAACATTGGTGATAGTTAGCTCAAAGCTATGCTGACTTGTTTTGTATTAGCAGCAAATTAGCAGAGCCTAAAATAAAACTGATTTAAGGAAATATTAGAAGACTAAAACTAACTTAAATTGCAGAGATAAAAGTTTGTGGTTCAAATGACGATAGGTATTATTTCCTTAAGTTGGTTTATTTTAGGCTGTTACCCTCCACCACTCTCCTTAATAACAGTTCGCAACAACCTACTGCATTTTCCTTTAAATATATTTATCAAGCTAGAGTTGCAACCCTGCAGTTATCTTCCAGGATTCACACAGTTAGAGGTCACTAAGATCTACAAAGTGACTCCAGAAATTACTACCAACAATCTGTTGCATTGAATAAAGTGAGAGATCTTACGTGCCACGAGGCAGAATTGGAAGAACTAAGAGATTGCACATGGTGCCATATTTGTGCAGTAAGTGATGTGGGTCCTTGAAGTTGCACAAGATGGATCTGTTACATGCAATAATTAAAATGGAATGCAACACCGAACTTAATTAATAGGCAAATGATACTTCATGTATTTATATTAAAGGGAGGGACATTCTGTAAAGTTGGGTATTGTTGTTTACAGTGCATCCACAGGAATTGTAACAAAATCTTAAACTGCATGGAGTTAACTTAGCCTCTTGTTAGCTCAGCCTCTTCTCTCCTCTTGCCATCGATTAATCAGTTCAAAGTTGTGAATTGTAGTATACTAATATGATTTTAGAAATAATGAATGTTTAACTGAATGCTTTGTAAGGTACACGCTAAATATAGGCAGATGGAAAAGTTAGTACATCATGACTTAAAATCAAGCAAAAATGCGAAGAAAACATTTCTCAACTTTATTTGTATAAAACAAACTGTCATTGCCCATAAAACAAAGCTAAATGCATACTCCAGCATAATAAAATGAGTTAGTACACCAGTAAGTGGTTTTGACAGCAAATTTGCAATGGTAACCTCTGTGCTATAAAAAGTGGAATTAAAGTTACTTATCAATATTTTATTCAGAAACTTATTCTAGATTTAGGATTTCCATCAGAACTAACTCAGATTAAATGAAAGTTAGTTGATTGATGTGTGGTTCTCTATTTTCCAGGATCACTGCCTGTGACCATATCATTAATTGATATAAGAAGACAGGCAATACCTTTTGAAAATGAATAAGGCTATTCTATTCTAATTCTAAATTAGATTGATTTGGAACAAACCAGTCATAGATAACTGGTATCTCCCATTTTGAATTTAAGGTAATTTATAGGCCAGCTATATTGCAGCAGAAATGCATAATAGGCAATTTTTGCCCAGGTAAAATATGAAGATCAGTTTATTAAAAAAGGCTGGAAATGGAGAGCAGAAGCATGATTGTCATTCAGTAATCCTTTTTTTGGCCTATATTCAGTATTCCCCTTTACGCAAACACATGAGCAACATTAAAATATAATTCCATATTATAATGAAATTTATAATGAAACTTATCTTACTGAGAGGCACATTATTATTCAGAGTTGTTTTATCTTTTCACTGCTCCATTCAGTAAATTTGACACCAACAGTTATAAGTTATATAAAATTCATAAATTAAAACTTGTGCCATTGTTAAGATTAATATAATGCTTTTTGAGACACTGAAACAAAACAAAGCTTTCACATTGGTCAATATGTCTTCCACGTGTTATGGCATGGAACAAGTACTTACATTAATCACATTTTGCCTTTATTTCATCATTATAAACAAACCTCTTTTCTGGAAGTTTTGAAGACTGAAATTTCTATAATCTATGTATTTACTTTAAGTGTAGTTCAGAGCTAGCAAACTAAAGTGGGTTCTGCATTAAAAAGGGAATATGTACTAAAGTGTTGTTGTTATATTTTGAGAAAGATATGATTTATCCTGGAGATATCACTTTCTTTCTCATCCTTCATGTTAAAGATACTGTTCCAGTCTTCCAGGAATTCTCCACCCAAATTTCAATTTCTTATGTGTGAAGCAGGCAGCTATTGAAATAATAGGGTATTGCAATTTAGCCCAATCGTACTCTCACCTCAACAGAGTCACTGGGTAGCAACCATGAGTGAGAATCATTGGTGAATTCCACCTCCAGCTCATCAATGCAGAAGCATGACAGAGGTATATCTTCTGCATAGTGAAGTTTGAGATGGCTAACTAAACACAGTGCAAGAAACAAAGGGTGCCATTTTCTGGTCCCAATATCATGTCATGTAGCACATTTATTCAAGAAGCCCAAGGCCCATATTTATACAACTTCACACTGCTTAATTTGCTCAATCCCTATATGGCTGTAAACAGATAAGATCACAAGTTGTGCATTAATTGGATATGCTACTGTTAAAGTCAGTGGTTTGTGGTAATAACTGGTTAGATAAACTGTTGCTGATTTAAACACTGGGTGCAAAGAGCTTTAACAGTGTTATTTAGATCTAAAAGCAACATATTTAACATTATCTTAAGGAAGTGCTTTAATTATGTAGCTGAATTGGCTTTGTTGGTTCTATCTCCATCACACTGATGCTGCTGTAAAATCTATTTTGTTTTGCACTGAAGCTCCAGCCTCAGATACAAATTTGGTCTACACTATGACACTTTGCTTTGAGGCTTCTTAAAAATACGAATGGAGTGACTTTAGATGCTGCTTCTAGCAGGTAGAGTTTAGACCCTAAATAATGCCATACCTTACCTGACATTAAGGAGAAAGTATTGACATCTCTGCCGATATAAGGTAAGTGCCGATCTTTGAGGAGCTTGTCGAATTGTTCACAATAACTGTACGCCTTATAATAAACTACCAGTATTAAGATGCAGCATTCATGGGGAATTATTCTATATGCTTCAAATGTGAATATAAGTAACATGGCCACATAAAACCAAAAAAAAACTTGATTACAGTTTTAAGAAGAGTGGAAGAGCTATTTCAGTTTAAACTGAAAATATCAGCATTTTCCCTGGTCTATTATTAGTGACTTCTTTAGTAGCAGTTCACTTCCTATAATAAATTTAAGCTTAATCTTTAGATGTCAACATCTTTCTAGATTTATTGCAAAGCTATAGTAATAAAATTTGATTTTAAATTCATAATTGTCAAACAAAATTACAAAATAATCAGTTTGGTTTTCATTCTTTGTTCACTACTGAGAATATGGATACTGAAGTAATTCTTTTGGTAGTAATACAAATAATGTAAAAGGTGGGCTTGAGGGAACCATTCATTTTACAATCAAAAAACCTGGCACGAATTTTTCAAATCCTTTGAAAGTCTCTGATCCTGGTTATAACTAAAAGCAAATAGCAATCATGGAAAAAGTATCAATTATACCCAAAAGATTAGTAAGTAGTTTTCACCTTCTACCACAGTGATGCACTTCCTATTTACAAAAATAGCCAAACGCCCAGAATGACCAGGCATTATGCCTTTCACTAGCAGTTTTCATTTTATTGACAGATAGAAAGAAGGGACTGTTGAATTGATGGAATAATGCACAAAAAAATAACTGCTCATAATGTGAACTCTCTTTTCCTGCAACCTCCTGAACCATCATATTTATTTAAAAAACTACAATGGAACTCTTACACCTGCCAGAACTTTTTGCTGGACAAGACCTTGTGTAAGATATCATCTCACCTCTCTGCACAATCCATTATTATTTTTACTGGTCTTCATCCTATGCCTTGGATATTATGCCCAGAAGACCAAAATTCCATCATCAGTTGTTAGCTATTGTGGCAGTTAAGAAGTTCCATTGTGACTCTCTGCATCTAAGGAACAAAATTTAATTTGCATGATCATTCTAATTCATAGTCCAGTTGTCTCTGTATGGAACACCAATCAAACTGTGGAAGACAAAAAAAACTTGCATCATCTTTCCAACAGTATTCACTGATGTTAAAATGTAACATATACTCAACCATTTAGAAATCCTAAAGGAAACTCAGCACTCAAGCACACATTAATCCCTTTTCTTTTCTACCATGCTTTTCTCTTCCAGTTCCTCATCTTTATGCTCTTTAGAACTTTCTTTAACTCCATTATCAACTTTGTGACGTTCATCATTGTTTTCCTCCTTTTCTTCATCACTAGCTTCTGCATCTCCCTGCTCGATGGCTTCGTTCTGAAGCAATTCTCCTTCTTCCGGTTCATATTCCCCATCAGCTGTCCAGATTCCATAACACATGATGCTGATAACACCCAAAGGTAGACCAAAAAGAAAGCAACCCAGGAGAGGAGAGGTCTTGAAAACAGACTAAAACAAAACACAAAAAGATCAATTTCTTTACCCTTCACGCACAAAAAACAACAGAGAAACCATTTTAATGGATAGTACCCAACACGTTCTAAAATGATCACTGGATCAAATTGTTTTCTTGCTGGTGCAAAACCTTTATGTCATAGTTCTACACCATCAAGAATTGTCATGGAGTCAGAGTCGTACAACACTGAAACAGACCCTTCGGTCCAACTTGTTCATGCCAACCAGATATTCTAAATTAATCTAGTCCTGTTTGCTAGCATTTGGCCTGGATCCCTCTAAACCCTTCCTAATTGTGTACCACTCCAGACGACTTTTAAATGTTGTCACTGTACCAGCCTCCACCACTTCCTCTGGCAGTTCATTCCATAAACTGACCACCCTCTGCGTGATAGAGTTGCCCCCAGGTTCCTTTTATATCTTTCCCCTCTCACCTTAAACCCATGTCCTCTAGTTTTGGACTTCCCTACCCTTATAAAAAGACCTTGACTATTCTTCCTATCCACACCCCTCATGATTTTATACACTTCGATAAGGTCACCTTTCAGCCTCTGACGCTCCAGGGAAGAAAGCCGCAGTCTTCTCAGCCTTAACCTTTTGCTCAAACTATCTAACCACGGCAACATCCTTGTAAATGTCTTTTTTTCAAGCTTAAAAACATCTTTCCGATAGGACGGAGACCAGAATTGAATACAATCTCCCAAAGTGGTCTAACCAATCTCCTATACAGCCGCAACATGACATCACAACTCCTATACTCAATGCACTGACCAATAAAGGCAAGTGTACCAAACATCTTCTTCAGTGCACAGTCTACCTGTGACTCTGCCTTCAAGGAACTATGAACCTGCACCCTAAGATCTTTGTTCGGTAACATTCCCCAAAACTCTACCATTAAGTGTACAAGTCCTGCCCTGATGTGCCTTACAAAAATGCAACACTTCACATTTATCTAAATTAAACTCCACCTACCACTCTCCGGTCCATCGGCTCATTTGATCAAAGTCCCATTGTACTTTGAGGTAACCTTCTTCACTGTACACTACACCACCAATTTTGGTGACATCTGCAAACTTATTAACCATTCCTCTTATATTCACATACATTTAATTTACATAAATGACAAAAAGCAGTGGACCCAGCAATGATCTTTGTGGCACACCGCTGGTCACAGGCCTCCAGTCTGAAAAACAACCCCACTCCACCACCACTCTGTTTCCTACTTTCAAGCCAATTTTGCATCCAAATGGGTAGCTCTCCCCGGATTCCATATCAGCTAACCTGGCTAACCAGTCTACCAAATGGAATTGGGTCAAACACCTTGCTGAAGTCCAGATAAACAATGTCCACCACTCTGCCTTCAGTCTTCTTTGTCACTTCTTCAAAAAAAAAACACAATCCAGTTAGAGACAGAATTTCCCATGCACAAAGCCATGTTGACTACAATCCCAATAAAGTGATAATCCCTTTCTTATTTCTCAGTTCCACCAAAATAACATAACTGGATGTAGCCCCAGGAATATCCTCCCTAAGTACATCCTTAATGTTATCCCTAACCAAAAATGCCACTCTCCTTCCCTTTTTGCCTCCCTTTCTATCTTTCCCATAGCATCTATACCCTGGAAAATTAAGCTGCCAGTCATACCCTTCCCTGAGCCACGTTTTCTGCAATAGCTATGATATCCCATGTTCTCAACCATGCCCTAAGTTCATCAGCCTTACCTGTCAGGCCTCTTGTATTGAAATACATGCAGTTTTTTATCAGTCTATTGTCCTTGATAAAATCGCATGACATTTTTGGTCAATCCAACAGATGTATATTTATGATGTTTTAGAATCCACTCTTTCTTACCTCTGACTCGGACCTTTGTTTTAGATCATTCTCAGAGACAAGTGAGTTTCAAATGATTTTGAGAGGTTGCTCACTAGCATTGACTGCATAAAATCTTGGTATCATGCAGAATTAACAAATAGAAGATTTTTAGCTACTTTTAGCTACTGGAAACTTCCTACACAATTCTCTCTCTACTTCAAGTAGCAATAGATTTTAACAATTAAACCATTTTATTTCAAATAAAAAAAGCAAATTGTATACACAATCAAACAATGAAACTTATTGTAATTGACAGAGATTATAAAAATTCTCCAAATGTGGTGACAGAGTCACGGCTAGATTATTGCTAACCATAGTTTTTTTTAAATTCACTCGTGAGATGTGGGTGTCACTGACCAGCATTTACTGCCAGTTCCTAATTACCTTTGAGAAGGTGGTGATGGTGAGCTACCTTCTTGAACCCCTGCAGTCCATGCACTATAGATAGAACCACAATGCTGTTAGTGAAAAATTCCAGTATTTTGACCCAGCGACAGTGAAGGATCGGCAATATATTTCCAAATCAGGATGGTGAGTGGCTTGAAGGGGAACTTGCAGGTGGTAGTGTTCTCATATATCTGCTACCCTTGTCCTTCTAGATGAAAGTGGTCGTGGGTTTAGAAGGTGCTGTCTAAGGATCTTGGGCGAATTTCTGCAGTACATCTTGCGGACAGTACACACTGCTGCTATTAAGTGTTGGTGGTGGAATGAGTGAATGTTATGCCAATCAAGTGGGGTGCTTTGGATAGTTGTCCAGCGTTGGTGGAGCTGTACTCATCGAGGGAAGTAAGGAGAATTCCATCACACTCCTGACTTGTGCATTGTAGATGACGGACAGGCTTTGGAGAGTCAGGTGAATTACTCGCTATAGTATTTCTGACCTCTGACCTGCAGTTGTAGCACTATATTCATTTGGCAAGTTTGGTCAATGGTAAACCCCAGGACATTGACAGTGGGGGATTCAGTGATGGTAATGCCATTTGGTCGTCAAGGGGCTATGGTTAGATTGTCTCTTATTGGAGATGGCTATTGCCTGGCATTTGTGTGGCATGAATGTTACTTGCCACTTTTCAGTCCAGGCCTAGATATTGATCAGATTTTGTTTCATTTAAACATGGACTGCTTCAGTATGAGGTATCTTACCACTGCAGTTCTTATGTTTACAGTGTTCCCTCAATAGTGGGAGATAAGGAAAGCACTGGTATAGCTGAAGTGAGGTGACAAAGGCACAGAGTTATGTTTCCAGCAGCAGATGGACTTGTAAAGGTGGCAATGTTGCAGAAATGGAAATAGGCAGTCTTTGTAACATATAGAAGAGTACACAGGGCTAGTAACTCAGATCCAGGTTAAGCAAATAGCCTTGAAGCAGAGATCCCAAATAATTTGGTTTCAACCTTGGAAGTGATGGAATTTGTGATGAGCATACGAGACTATGCCTATGTTTAATTGTGAGGAAATCATAGCTCATCTGTTACAGAGATAATAGGAACTGCAGATGCTGGAGAATCTGAGATAACAAGGTGTAGAGCTGGATGAACACAGCAGGCCAAGCAGCATCAGAGGAGCAGGAAGGCTGACGTTTCGGGCCTAGACGGCTTTTGCTGGTAATACTTAAGTGTTGCTATTCAAATGTTATTTAAAGGAATAAAATCAATGTATGCAGATACACCTGTACATAATACTTTCCTTAAATATCCATATATAAATTAAAATCACTTAATAATGTATGGTTGTAATGCTCTAAGATCGCATCGAGCTTCTAGTATTGGTAATTGGTGCAACTCGTTTGTTCAAATGGTATAGTAGACTGCAGAAAAATGGAGGCATCATAACTGCTGCCAGGATATCAGGCACTGACCTACACATTTATGATGGTTCACTGGTCGGTCATTGAAGGAGTGGAATTATTTTCAATTCTTGAACCTGTGCGATGATATACAACACCCACAAAGCAAAGAATTTGCAGTCACTGTTGATCAGCCTGTAATCCCAGAGAAATTCTGTGCTCACTTCACCTTTCTCTAAAATTGGGTGGCACGGTGGCTCAGTGGTTAGCGCTGCTGCCTCACAGCAC